GTATCTGCTAGAAACACCAAATTGTAACTCTGACAGTCTTGTTTAATTACTGTTTTAATAAATGTTTGTTTTAATTCATTTAAATTTTTCACTGATGAAGTCTATCATAAATGTTTTTGAACTCATTCAAAGATTTTGTGTTAACAGCTTAAACATTAAATGGTCTTTGACGAAATTACCAAAAATAGGATTTGTTTCTAAATCAAAAATATTTTAATTCGTCATAGTAAAAATCAAACCTAAGATAATTTGATACATAGCTGAAAAGTGGTAAAACTTGGATGAAACAACATTGATGATATTATGCTTAAATGGCAATCTGCAGGGCATTCATCTGCAGGGCTTTCAACGCATACATATTGATTAGGGGTTTGGGCAGGTACAATCTAAAAGTTTGTTTAATATTTTAAGTGTGCAAAATATATTGGTACTAACTAAAAATAACGGCAGCAAAAATAGCAAAATATATTGGTACCAACTAAAAAGCGACAGGGTATTTTAGGTACATTCCATTCATTCAATAAGAGAAGGTTTGGTAGTATGGTTAAGCAGTATGCAAGGTTATATGTTATATTTATTTATATTATAGTTATGTTATTTATATATGTATAGTATACATACATATAATACATATATAAACAAACATATTTTACAATATACACACATACAAATCTATCTATATCTACCTATGTTTATATATAAATATATCTACCTATGTTTATATGCACACAAATACACACAAAAAACTGTTATCAAAATAATTCTCTTATCTCAATAAAAAAAACTCTTACAAAAACTTTTAACAACTCACTCAAGTTCCATGCTACCAGTAGATATTCTAAAGCACTGTTTTCTTATTTCACTATACTCTAATGCTGTGAAAAAGCCACTGCTCTAAACAACCATATAAACTAATTTAAAATTCTGTTTATTTGCTATCAAAACATAACTTTGTATACACTTTAAATAGAACTCCCACTAAATGGAACTTCAATAACAAAAGTTAATTTTTATAACTTGTTTTTCTTATTGAAGCTATAACTTATTAACTTAAACCAAGTAGCTGATTTTTATCATATTCAAATTTTTTTATTTATTTAAATAGTGGCAACATTAATAATAAATTCAGTTAATATTTTAGATGTTTATGTTACTGAAACATGAATAAATACAGATAACTATTGGATCAAATCAGTCATGAAGACATTGGAAAGGCAATTCTAAGAATAGATTGTAGATAGAGATGCTAAGCTAAAACCTAAAAGGTTATGTAATAATAATAACAATAATAATAATAATGAGAGGAAACTGTAACAACTGGTATTAACAGTTGTGGAGCGCAATAACAGTTGATATTGCACTGTATCAGCTTCGCACAATTCCTAAATCTCTAACCCAAATTATCTTAAAAACAATTTTGTAATAAAATGTCTTTGCAAATATTTGATTTATATAGTTTGTTTTTGAACTGATTTATTGAATCAACTTCTATTATGTCACTCGGTAGATTATTCCATATATTGACTATACAATTAGAGAAAAAATTTGATCTGATAGTATTCTTGCAGAATAGTTTTTTTAATTTGAACTTATGTTGCCTCAGATGGGGGCCTTCTTGCAACACAGTATAATTGTAGTTTGAAACCCAGCATCAAAACCATATTGAATTTTGCATTGTTGGATTAGATCGCCACGTATTTGCCGTTCTTCTAGAGTTGTTAATTGCATAATATCTAATCTTTTCTCATATAGTATTTTTTTCAATGCTGACGCTAACTTTGTGGCTCTTCTTTGGATTTTCTCAATTTTATCAATGTCTTGTCTTAAATATGGACACCAAGCTTACATCGCAAATTCAAGGTGTGGCCAAACGAATGTTACATATAACTGTTTTGCCATATGTGTGTTGACGTATTTGAATGTTTTTCTTATAACACCAAGCACTGAGTTTGCTCTGCCAACCGCTGTATCAACTTGAGTTTTCCATTTTAAATCAGATTGTATCATTATACCCAAATCTCTTTCAGTTTCAGTAATTGATATGCTGTGATTTAAATTGGTGTCAATATCATACATTATTAACAGATGATTAGGATTTTTTCTTCCAATATGCATAATCTTGCATTTGTCATTATTAAATTCTGTTTGCCAAGTAGATGACCATGCCATGATATTGTCTATGTATAATTGAAGTTTCTTAGCATCACATGAATTGCTTATTATGTTAATAATTTTACTATTATCGGCGTAATATATAAAGTGAATATCTTTTTTTATAGATAGATATCAAAAGTGGTGAGATTTGTTCAAATTGAAAACGTAAATTTATGTTGTGTAATTAGAATAATTTTTTATACATTTATGATAAATTAAAAAATTACAAATAAATATTAAAAAAACCTACACAACATTTTGCTACAGCTTCTTTAATTTTGTCAACTTTTGCTTCTGAAATCCCCTTTATTTGAAGCAACTTTCTTTTGGTTGTCATTTGAATGCCCTATCAAAAAGGTAACATGAAAATAGTATGTTTCTATATATAACATGTGATAACTAAAAATCTGGACAAAGTTTGAGTAAATATTAAAATATGAAGGAATAATTTAATATACTTGCAATCACTCCTATTTTGTTACAAATTTAATTCTTTAAATTAATTCTTTCAAAGAAAGGAAAATAATATAGGACCAGAAAGAGAAGTTGGAAGTGGTCGCAAGCAAAAAAGATGTCTCCAAAAGAGATAAATCGTCTTAAAAATTTGATTGATCAAAAGAATGATATTTCATAGCGTGGTCTTGCAAAACAATACCATGTATCACAACTGCACATATGCAAAATTATTTACAAAAAAACTAGTGTTTGTTATCTTAAAAAAACTAAAACACATAAAAGAACTATCTACAAAGGTCGAAGAATCCTTAACTAGAAGCTTTCAAAATGTTTTTATCTTTGGAAAGAATATTCTTAACACTTTAAACAGCAGATGTTCTGGTGCACATGCACCCCTTTTTTAATCAATTCTTATTAATCTTGTTTTTTTTTTATGCCTCTAGAAGTCCTTACGGTCTTATCATAGAGCACCGTTGATGACCATTTAAAAAGAAATTGACGCCTCCTTTCTTACTGATGTTATAAAACTTTCCCAGAGGTGGTGTTGAACTGGGGATCTCTAGTTTCTGAGGCAAGAAACATGTTGTATATATATATATATATATATATATATATATATATATATATATATATATATATATATATATATATATATATATATATATATATATATATATACATATATATATATATATATATATATACACACATTATGTGATAACTAAAAATCTGGACAAAACTAAAAATTGTATAACTTTTCAACGGAATGATCAATTTTAATAATTTAAAAAGTATAATAACAAAAAATATCTAAATAATAAAACTTAAAAAAATTATAAGTTTTTCATGCCATGACGACAAAAGGTGTCTACTCTTGTAAATGTTGCGGCAGCTACCAATGTACACGTTCTATGTTGATTTTCTTAATTGAAAACTTGATCCGCTTTTTAAGTTTACCTAGATTTTTAATCAAAATTTATAGGCACCAGCTGTTTCTTCTGTTTCTTCATTAAAAAATAGCTTACTAAATAAAAAATTTGGTTTTAAATTTGTTACAAACATATGCCTGTAGCCTTAATGTTACAAGAATATATACATAACATATAATGTTACAAGAATATATACATAAGTGTCATTTATTGCAGTGTGAAAAAATTCTTTAGGCAAGCGTTGTCTTTGGGTTTTCACATTAGCTATCTATTTATCAACAATATTAATTATTTGATAAAAAATTTGACAAAGAGCTATAAAAGTTTTTACTCCTTATGAAAAATGTTTTTTATTTTCTTATTGTAATTATTACAACAGTTAAAAATTCCACAAATATAAGTAAATGCAGTTTATTTTCAAATTAAATTTTATAAAAATGACTTGAATGAGAAAAAACAATACTTTTGCAAGAGCCTTAAATTGCTCCCATCAACCATTTTAAGGGAGTGTGGGCGAGAGCGAGAGCTAAAGCTCTTGCTTTCTGCCGAGGGCAGAAATTTATTGTATTAGAAAATGCCTTATATATTTTCTAAGAAAACAGTAAAAAGCAAAGAAAAACGAGACCATTTATTGAATCAGAAAATTATTTGCTGTAGTTGTTTGAAGAAATGCTTAAAATGTATTCAAGTCACACAATTATTAGAAGATTAAATAAAAATTTATGTAAAACCTGAATATTCAATATCTGTATATAGGTATCCTACAGGTATATTCCATTTTATGAATTATTTTTTCATTACTTTCTAAAAATAATCTAAATTTAAAAATAAACTTGCAAAAAGGTGAACTTACTGAAAGAAAGTAAAGACATACCAAATATAGTTAAAACTCTATGGCAACCTGCTCAATTATCTACATGTATAAGCTCTAGAAATTGTGAAACATGCACAGTTTGTTCAAAGGTTAGATAAGGACTTTTGAATATGGAAAAAAAAATTTAGTGAGTTTGATTAGGATGTGTAATATTTGCTTATATGCAATTAAGAGAAGAATTAAATATCAATGAAATTATTTAATACTTCTAAAAAAGTTCAGGAAAAAGTCACTTCGAATGTTTTAAGATCATTTTATAAGGAAAAAAAAAACATTGAGTATGGAATCCAGAAACATCTAAATACTGATAATTTGTTTATAAGATTTGTTAGTGTTTTCGAATTGTTTAAATCATTAACAGTATGATATTACTCAGGTGTGTTGCCATTAACTATAACTATCGGTGTTCCTCAATTACTTAGTAGGAATGTCAAATTTGAAGAACAGAAACTATAATTATTCAATTTGGACTAAGTCAATTTAAATCACAGATCCTTCTGAAATCCTTTAGAAGTGGAATTTAATTTTAGGCAAATCTTGTAAAAAAACTTTTCCAAAAAAAGTATAACCTGAATTTTATAATGTAAAGAGACAGTTATTGCAGAAGAAAAGACAGTTATTGCAGAAGAAAAGAAAAAAAAAAGTTAACAGATGTGTTAAGAGACCTTGTTTATGTTTGTCAATTAACCGAGCTGTTTAACTTTGTAATGACTTACAGAAAGCAAAACCTAAACATTAGTATGAATTGGAATTGATTCAGGTAAAAATGTTATTAGATGAAGAGATTCTAAACCTCATAGCATATACTTTTTAATTAAAATATTATTTTTTAGGTGCTGGATCACTTAAAGTAATTTCAAACCACTTTGATCAGAAAAAGAATGGTGCAAAGATTATAGTTTTCACGGAACATACTCTGGAATTAACCATTCTGTGGTTCTTGCATATTGTGACAACATGCAGGAGACACAGAAATTTAGCCATTTTATTAGATCTTCTAAAGCTTGAAGAATGTAAATTAATTTTCTTTTTGGTATTTCAGTATGTTATAATCTAAAAATAACTTATTATGTAACTTTAAATTGGAGTTTAAAAAAAAAATACGGTAAATATGCTTGTGCTTGGTGTGAAAAAGAATGTGAACTTTTTGGAAGTTTTCGGTTTCAAAATTTTTTTTTTTCAAAATCAGTTTTTTTCAAAAACGGCTACTTTTTGATTTTTGAGCTTCTAGATACAGTATCCTAAAGGGACACTAACAAAAGTTCCATAAAAAAATTATGGAACTATGACCTAAAACAAAAAACCTATTTTTTTGATGTGTGCCCAAGCTATTACAGAAATGAGCTCAGATTCAAGATTGGCTGACTGTTCTAAGCAATTGACAAGAGAAATCTTCTGACGACTCAGTTTTATACTTAAAGTATAAAACTGAGTCGTCAGCAAATAGAGCTACTTTAGATGTCAGGAAGATCATAAATGTAGATAAAAAACTACACTGTATAGAACCTTGAGATACCCCAGAAGTTACTAGAAATGAAGAAGAGTATCGGCCTTTGAGGATGACTTCAATACTGTGGTAAGAAAGAAATGATTTAATTATCTCAAAAACTTTCCCAGATATACCATACAAAGCAAGCTTCTAGAGAAGACTAGCATTCCGAACCTTGTAAAATATTTTTGATATGTTAAGAGCAATAGCTATTGGGGTGGGATTATCTTGGAGTAATTTACTTTAGGGGTGGGGTTAGTAGGCGTTAGTAATATAAAAGTGATTATTAATATATTGAGTGTAAATTTTATAGAAATATTTTAGTTAATTTGACAAGTATACGGCAAAAAATTTATTATCCCTTTAAGCTAGCAGCAAACACATTGCAGCAAATAATACTTATATACTAATAATAAAATTAATACAATAATACTTTGTATAATGATACTAATATATATTGATAATCTAATGATACTAATATATATATATATATATATATATATTATATATATATATATATATATATATATACATGGTGGCCACAAAATTTTAAAAATTAAATTCCAGGACATTTCCAGGACATTCCAGGACATTTTATATCTTATTAAATGAATATTATCAATTATCTTTACGGTATATTTTTTTCATATTGATTGAATTATAGAATAGATTATTATATTATTATATTATAATATAATTATTACTCTCTTATTTAAAATTAAATTCAAACCATTAATATAAAAAAAATTTCTCATAAAAATTTTAAAATTACTTCAATATTATTAGTAATTTTTTAACTTGATTCAGAAAAAAAAAAGTTCCAGGACATTTCAGGACATTTTGGAAAAAAATATAATTTTCCAGGACATTTCAGGACATTCCAGGACACTTGCAAAAATCCAGGACATTCCAGGACTGTGGCCACCATGTGTATATATTATATATATATATATATATATATATATATATATATATATATATATATATATATATATATATATATATATATATATATATATATACATATATATATATATATATATATATATATATTTATATATATATATATATATATATATATATATATATATATATATATATATATACATACATATATATATATATATATATATATATATATATATATATATATATATACATACATATATATATATATATATATATATATATATATATATATATATATATATATATATATATATATATATATATATATATATATATATATATATATATTATAATGATAGTATAGGTAAAAAATGATAGACTTTTTTAATTTTTTTTTTAAGCTTTTGGATTAATAATTTATACTCAATTATTAACTAATTTATATTATTCAAATTTGAGTAGAAAAATTTTTTTAATGTAATTTTTAATTTTTTTTAAGATCTAGTGTGTTTCTTCACCTACCATGATATGGCACCACCTACCATAATTGATTCTTAACCTACCATGAACAAAAAAAATTATATTTTGATTTTAATTTTATTTATTTACCTTGCAAAAAAATGCATAAATTTAATGATTACTAAATAAAAGAAACATTGTTTTTTTTAGTTTTTAGTAAAGGGACTCCT